GGGGGGTGGGTGGGGCGGGGGCGGGGGCTGAGTGCGGGGAGAAGGCTGGCTCGCTCGCTGGGAAAACGCAGCAGAAGGGGCCAGGAGTTGAGGAAAGGGCAGGCCAGGGGCCAGCAGATGAGAGGACCTGCACGCCACCACGGGGCCCTGCATCTGACACCTCCTCATACCCCTGCCACAACCACATACATGCACAGCATTTTGCGCCTGGCAGACAGCTTTGCCTGCAGGATGAGGCAGCCACGTAATGTCCCCTCTTTTCCTCTCTTTGTGACACACTCTGGCATCCCCAGCCTGGGCATCCAAGAGCTTCGGATCCGTTTTCTTCCTCCGTCCACAGACCTGACCCCTTCCTCTGGGCTCCAGAAACATCCCTCCCCAACTCCCCATTCACCTCTGCCAGCTGCATCAGAAAATGCAAACTCTGCCGAATTTGCATGCTGTCTGCCTGGCTCCTCTTCCTGGGTGCCCTCTCCCATGTCCTTCATAAGCGCCTCTTTCCTGGGCCCCTCAGAACTGAGCAGTGCTTTGCCATGCATGTGCTCCCCGCTTGCAATCAGTGTGTCCACCCGTCTGTCTGGGATGTGAGCACGGGGGTGGCGATCCGGCTGGGTGCTGGTACTCCAGGGTCGCGAAGTCTGTGTGACCAGAGAAGCCCTGGGTCAGCTAGGTCCAAGGGTCACGGGCTGTGCTGATCCAGGAGACTCCACCCTGGCGGGGCAGAGCCAGGGCTGGGGACAAAGGTCAAGTGGCGCCCCAGGTAGTGTTTTGGAGCTGGGCAGTCAGTGGCTGGGGCGGATACATATGCTGGTGTCCCTGGGTCAGCCCAAGAGCCACCATGAACTCCCAGGGGCCTCCAGGCAGGGGCTCTGCACACTGTGAGTAGGGTATGAGGTGGGCCACTGAGGGCCAGGAGCCGAGGGCTCACCTCTGGGTGCCCCAGGATGTGGAGAGCTGCCTCAGAGCCCGAGAGGGCCCCACCCATCCTGACTTGGGAAGAGGTTTTCAGAGGGGCAGCCGGGGTGCTGGGCACTGGGTCCTGGCCCCAACCATCAACCCTCCTCCCATGGCAGGCACCAAGTCTTTCAACATGATGTCCCCAACGGGTGACAACTCGGAGCTACTGGCTGAGATCAAGGCAGGCAAGAGCCTGAAGCCAACGCCGCAGAGCAAGGGGCTGACCACAGTGTTCTCGGGCAGCGGGCAGCTGGCCGCCCAGGTAGGAGGCAGGCAGGTGCCCCGCTGCAGCTCCTAGGGCCTGCCCCATGCTCAGCACCGCTGCTTCTCCCTGCAGCCCGACTCACCACCACCACCAGTGTCGCTGGCAGCGCCGTCTGGGGCCCGGAGCCCCACCCCACACCTTGCTCAACGGCAGCATGGCGCCGGCACCGCCCGCCACACCTGCGCCAGGCGTGCAGCTGGATGTGGAGCCGCTCGTCCCCACACATGATGAGCATGGCCGGCCCATCCCTGAGTGGAAGCGTCAGGTGATGGTGCGAAAACTGCAGCTGAAGATGCAGGAGGAGGAGGAGCAGAAGCGGAAGGTGGGTGGGCAGGGCTGCCCGGGAAGTCCTGGGGTCTGCATGGCACCTCCAGCTCCTGCCCCACACCACCCTTCCACCTGCTGTGGCCCTGTAACCTCTGGCAGCTCTCACTGCCTCTGAAGGAAACTGGGGTGGCAGAAAACTGGTCCCAGCCTCCCCAGCACCAGCAGTTGGTCCTTTAAAATCCTCTGAGCCCTTGCTTAAATGCCCGCCTGGCCTCAGGAAGTTTCAGGGGTGGAGATGCTGAGTTTCTAATAGGCTCCTGGGTTGGGCCGAGGAAGCTCTGGCCCAGGGACCCCTGAGTCATCTGGAAGACTTTGGTCTCAGGCAGACTCTGCCCCTGTACTGTCACTGTCCAGCTGCTGATATGGAGCCCTGGGCAGCCTCAGTCTCCACATCTGTTAGGCAGGCTGCTCATCACTGGCCAATGGTTTCTGTTCATTTCTTCAACCTTCCCTGACCGCCATCTGTGAGTGCCGCATGGCGCCATAGCCTCTACGGGTTCGTGGTGAATATGCTTGAAGCCTGCTTCCTGGGTGGCTGCCTGTTTCTCTATATCAATAAGCAAATAAGTGTCCCCAAGGGAACAGGACATGTGAGAGACTGGCACCTGAGGGATTGCCTGGGCTGTCTAACTTGCCCAGTGCTGTGACCAAGAGTTCGGGGGCCTGGGCGGCCCTGAATTGGCCACCCTTGGGGCTAGGGGTGGCAAGACTTGGAAGGTGAGCAAGAATCGCCCTGGGAGGCGTGGGGCGCAGGGTGAGCATGCAGGCTGGAGTTCTGGAGGTGGAGTAGATATGTCTCTGAGGCTGCACACCTGGAAGAGAAGTGGGTTTTCCTGAGGCAGGAAGGGCCCCAGGCTATTTAAGTGGTGAAATGGTGGATCAAATCTGTACTCAGGTATCTGACTGTGAGGGTCCAGGTGAGTTGGGAAGCCTGTATGGAGGTGAGAGCAGCCCCCATAGTGGAAAAGGTAGCACCAGAGAGATGGCCTCAGTGGAGAAAAATGAGGACGAAAGAAAAGAACCTGCTGGGCATGGTGGTGCACACCTGCAAACCCAGCACTCTGGGAGTCTGAGGGAGAAGGGTTGCCAAGGTGTTGCCCAGCCCCGCCAGCTCAGACCCTGTATCCAAAACAGGTGGTGTGTGTGAGGGTGTGGCCAAGGCTGAGCAGGGGGAGGTGTGAGCTGCTGCTCTGCTCCCTGTCAGAGTCAGAGGGCCTGTCCTCCAACACATGGGACACTGCCCACTAGGGTGCTGAGGCCTTGGGGCCACAGCAGAGTCTGGGAAGGGTCAGCAGCCTGGCAAGAGAGGACTTGGAGGGCCTCGGGCTGAAGTTAGCAGATGTTGGACAGGGAGGGATGCTCAGCTGCTTGCTGCCCGTGCCTTTCGAATGCTCCTTGGGTGGTGTACGAGAGCCCTTCTGCTGGCCTGCCCTCCCAGCTTCAACGCAGTGCCCAGCGACTGGCCGTGCCCCCACCAGCGGACCAAGTGGACACTGCCCAGAATCCAGAGCCGAAGTCTCACAGTGCCATCGCTGCCAGCCAGCGTCCCTGTGCACACAGCCCTGCGGAACATTACACCACCCCAGACATGCAAAAGGTTCCCCAGCGCCGCAGGAGCTGGGCCAGAGGGAGACGTGCCTCCCTCCCCTCTCTTGTCTCCCCCCTGCATAGCTGACGTCTGTGAGCTCCTGCTGCTACCCCAGGGAGGGCTGGAGGTACATCAGTGAGCACGACGCCATCCTCGGGCCCTTCGGTGAGCTTATGACGGAAGCCGACATCCTCCGCATCGAGCAGCAGATAGAGAACCTGCAGGTGCTGCACAAGGCACAGAGGCTGGAGGCGCGCCTGGAGCAGCTGGAGCTGGAGCTCGAGCAGCTGCTACCCATCTCGGCCGCGCTCTCGGTCCCGCGCTTCACCGTCGACCCGCGTCGCATGCAGGGCCGCGCCACCAGCCTGCC